ACATTCTAAATTCACCCCGCTTACGATTGGGTTACTGATGTTTCTCTTCTCTCTCCTCCCCTCCTTCCCTCTTTTCCTTCCACTGGAAGTGGAATGGCTTGGCATACAACCTGTCTCGGATCCCAGCCAGTACGAAAGGTTATGCTCTTGGAGCCAGGACAGCAGTGCGGTTTAAGCCAGTCAGCAAGGTAACGTTCGGAGGTTGTAAGGTGGTCCAGGCGGCAACATAAAAGGTTGAGGCATTAGCCACTGCAAGCAGGAAGTAACCTGGGGAGAGTGGAAACTGGTTCACTGAAGAAACAGACCCAGGACAGGGCTTTCATAACCTAAAGTTAAAATAGAGAAGCTATGTTTATTTACATCATGCTATCTTGTCAATTAAAGTTCCACACAAATTCCAACTTTTTCATTGTGTGTGTATCTGTGCTGACTGGGTTTCAAGTCTAATTGTGAGCAAAAGCAAAATCATTATCTTTCTCCTTTTTACTGATGAATTCTGAGCCTAGGCTGTACCAGACCAATGTGCTTGCACTGAGCTGCAGCCCCTGACTAAAATCCTGTTGGATAGTCAAGGACTAGCAATACTAACTATAAAAATCTCCCAGAGATGGACTGTACCAACTTGCTTTGATTCTTTACCCATATTGTGTGTGTGTGTGTGTGTGTGTGTGTGTGTGTAAACCACACCCATCTTTAGGTTTTTGCCTACTTAGGCCTATTTCTACATCTTTGACACCCTGAACCATAGCTGACTTATAAAGAGCATGAAATTATTATTTTGCTTTGCCTTAAATAATTTGTGATAATATAGATTGTATCTTATCAACCTCTAACACAATCCTTTTATAATTACAGGATGTGACGCCATATCCAGGAATGTACCAGAAAGATTGTACTTATGATGAGAAATACAAACAAAGCTTTGCTCCATTTAATGTCATGATGCCTCGATTTAGGTCTGAAGTTAAGGGCCCTTCTTATCCTGGGTATGTCTCCTGTTTACTGGGCATTCCATAGGAAAGAAGTACATAAAGCAGGAATTACGTCCAAACTTTCCAAGCTCAATCTTTAAAGATGTGACCTCTAACTTCTCATTTCTCTGGTACTGTAGAGTTGTAGAATTGGTTATTAATTCAATAGACATTTACTAAAGTGTCAGGCGCTTGTGAGGCTTCCACAGAGAATTCAATATGCCCACCAAACAGAGATCCTGCTCTCTTGGAGAGTACAGGTTAGAGCCAAAGAAATCAGAATTAAATACTCAAGCAAATACCAACAGTAATGAGAATGCTTGCCATACAATTTATTAGTCAAACTGTAACACTTCCAAAACTGAAGGGAACCAAGTGACAGTTCCCTTGGGACAGTAGCTATAAGCTAAGACTGTAATGAGCACACCAGACCCTGTGGCGAACTGGTGCTGTCCAGTAAAGACGTTAGAGCAGAATGATGATGTGATAGACTGATGAGCTGGGGGGCGACTTTGTTTAAAGTTGCTAAGAAAAACACTCAGCATGTGTCACTTGGCCTGAGATCTGAGCAAATAGATTAAACCAGTCCTGTAAAGTGACTTAATCTGTTATGTGCAGACAGAGCATCCCAGGCAGAAAGAACAGCAAGTGCAAATTCTTTAAGTTGAGAAGAAATTTGACGAGATAGAAAAGGAAGACATTGTCGTGGTTAGGGTACAGTGAGAAGGGAGGAAATGTAAACACAGAAGAGGGGCTGGCTAGAATATCTGGCCCTTGTAAGCCAGTGGGGTTTGGTCTAGATGCCTATGAACCTTCTCAATATGCAACTGCAGGGGAAATGATCTAAGTCTTTCCTTAACTGATGAGAATCCAAGAACCAGAGAATGCAAGCAACTTTTCCAAGCTTCTGTTAAGGAAGTTTAAGCATTAGTCTTGATTCTATAGATATAGAATAAACTATATAGATATAAACTATTCCTTACAGTAAAGTCTACCACAGCTTTACAAACACAGGCAATTCACAAATAATCTCATTATTGAGAGCCAAAGTAACTGGTTCTGCTTTGCTTCTCCCTAGATTGCAGAAAAGTTGTCTCTGCATGTATTTCACCATGTTCAAATTGTGGGCAGTACTAACCCATCACCGTGGTGGATCTCATAGCACTCACGAGCCTGAGATCTCTGGTCTTTCAGCTAAGGATACTGAGTTATAGAAATATGTTTAAGTTCTTTGCTTGGATGTTGAGGCTGGTTCTCTTTAACACTGGCAACCTAATTAGAGACACACTAATGGGAAATGATACTCATATTTGCCTGACAAGGTTAGTCTTGTTTTTCCCAAGGAGGGTGGAATTCATGGTCCATCATCAACCATATTTGTATGTTCATTTCTAGCCCTGGCACATACAATCCAGAGAAGAAGACACCCCCAAAGATTGTTTGGCCAATGAAATTTGGATCTCCAGACTGGTGTCAGGTTCCATATCTAGAGAAAAGAACTCTAAAAGCTGAGGTAATTAGATTGGCTGCTAACACACCTTTCTGTCCAGTACTATATCCTGTATTATCTTTTGTTCTTAACCAGAAGTTTGTAAGGAAACTTTGAAAAGTTCATGGTCCCCTGAAGTTATATTTTGTGTGTATGTCAATGTGAGGATAGTTTTGGAAACTCATCTGCGTTAGCTTTTTATAGATAATTATGACATTTTATCTGATCCTTAGATAAGGGATTACCTGCACCTGCTAATTCCTTAGGGTAGACATGGGGAAATATCCTATATGATTTAAGAAGATGCTGAGAACAGTAACGATCAGGTGACTGGGCAGCTACAGTCCACATCCATGACTCCTTCTTCATTGTTCTCTCTGACATATCGCGTGTGTTAGATCACTGGCGAGTTGGAGAGCTTCTGAGTAAGAGCGTGGAAAGTACTACCTGTCCTCAAACAGGGGTCCAGTGTTTCTTTTCTGTGTGATCTTTAGGGCTTTTCTTTGTATTGACTTCCTTTTCTTTAAAATTAATTTAATAATACAACTTATCTGGCCTTGTTGTAAAGCTAACTAACAGATAATATGGAAAAGCATTTCATACAGTACATAGAATATATACTTAGTTTGGGTTTGCTATCATAATTCTAGGTTTATTTTTTTTCCTAGTGGAATTTAGGATTAAATCCATAAATATTTGTTAAATGCCTAATATATGGATAGATGTGTTAGGATCTATGGGTAACATATAGTTAAACATATAATCCTTGCCATCAAGATGTTGACCAACTGCTCAAAAATTTCCAAGTAGCCAATTCCTAGCATGATGAACTCCAGATTACAGTGTTCTCAGTTATCATGAATGTCGAATCACTACACCTCAAGTCCTATTGGCTTGGGCTTTACCCGGGCCACAGGTTTTATACTGTGAGGTTCCACGTCATAGTCAGGAAGATCAGAAGCAGAGGACTCTTTCTGGGATACTGAACTAGACAATGTTCTTTTATTGCAGCTGTCCACAGACAAGGACTTTAGAAAACATCGGAACCGTGTGGCCTACTTTAGCCTGTTTTACGATTGAGAAGTAGGCACTGTCTTCACGAGTTCTCCTGACTGCAGAATCTCCAGAACTGAGGATGGGACTGCCCATGCACTTCTGGGTTTCTTGGGCCCTCTTGTCTGCCAATTCGGCATCCAGGGAGGAGCGAGGGTCTCACAGTCACCCTACAAAAACATAAAGACTGGTCCAGAATGTTCCTACTCTGTCTCTTTGTTTGTGGTCTAATAGTGCTTGCTGGGTGTCCAGCCACGTAGTTTCGTTTTTGAGAAATACCCAGGGATACCTTAACCACTACCTTCAATTCTCGGGCACCAGTCTTGAATGTTCTTCCACTAGTCTTGCCACTAGGTAGATCTTAGCCTGTACATGTCAAGGTCGTAGATAGAATTTGAGCCCCCAAGACATGGGATTTTTAAATTCAAGTTACAACATTTATGTCAGGGGAGTCCTTCCAAGATTTATGAATTCCCTGGAAATTTCATAGAATGAAATTCTTTCATTCTTTCCTAGATTGACATAAAAAACTCAAATAACCCAAAAAGTTTTAATTCCCCGTGACATGGCCTCTTTAGTCTGTGTGCTGAGTTCCTGCTTAGTATCAGGCAGAGTGAGAAGCAATGGGTATATCCTAGGAATTCACTCTATATCATAAGTTGTATTACCAACCTAGAAATATCTTTTTAGACCTTAAAATGTTTTCTTAGGTAAAACAACCAACGCCTTCATGTCTCTCAACCTTACATCTACACTTTACATCTCTTATGTAAGTTTCTATTCTGAATTTGATAAAAAGGAAAATAGTAGTCTTTAGCCCTATCAGAGATCCAAGAAGGATATAATAATACCTGAGTAAACAGGAAGTGCAGAATATACAACTTCCAAAACTATACAAAGGGCAGAAACATCTAACTACATGAACATTCACCCAAGGTTCCTCTGCAACATTGGGGCATCCACCTTTGGCCTACAGACCTAAAATATCTGACAGACTTTTCTGTGAAGCATGAATTTTAAATGACTGTTCTATCTTGTCTTGACAAAGTTTGGCAGTCACTTTCTTTTGTGTCCTGCTTATCCAATTTGGACAGCATACTGTCAGCAATTGAGGCAAGGACAATTTCTTGCCCAGTAGCTAACTTTGCCACAATGAAACCAAACTCCATATGAAGGTTCTTGGATACCCATCATTCTTTCTTGGAGTAAATTCATGCTGCCAGGAGCAGATGTGTCTCAGTGTCATGAAGAGCTTTATTTAAATAAAACATCTCAAATGTCATATTTTGAAGGTCTTGGAACTGAAAACAATCTTTCTATCTAAAATATATCTGTTTAACCTTGAAAACATACCTACCATGGCCAAAAATTTGATTGTTATAGATGACTAACTACAAACCTTCATTTTTAATTATCCTAAATATTTTGTAATAATTTTCAAGGACTATAATTTTGCATTACATTGTTAAATGAGCTGCATAAGTACAATACCTTAGAGTAGAAGCATATATACAGTATAACAAAAATAACCTTAAATTTGTATCAATATATAAAAATTTATACTAATGTAAAATTGAGATCATAGTTGCTGGTTTTAGTTTAAAGGTAGATTCAATAATCTACTTTTTTCCCATCATTCCTATATTCCCCTTTCTTCTTTTCAGAATGAGATCCCTGAATCTAAATCTCCTTTGTTTAGTTTTCTCCCTGACCAGTATGAATAATAACTTGCATCCAACTGCCTAAACTAAGATAAACATCCATAATCCACCAAATGGCCCAAAACCACCCACTCCACCTCTTAGGAATCTGAGTGTCATGTTCTTAAAATTACTTTCTGTTGTCTGGGGGTGACAGAATCTTTGAAGGACCCTGAGAGAATTGAGATAATTATCAAGTCCTAGGAGAGCTAGCTGTTTTCCAGTCTCAGTATGGGAAAGTGTAAGGCTTATCTGAAGTCCTGGCTGAAGTAGCCTTCGAGGTTAAGCCATCTTAGTAACTACTTCGAAGTTGTCCTAAGCAGTTTGTAGTCAAAACAGATCTTGGATTGTAGTGTTTTTCAGCTTAGTGGCATTACCACAATCCAGGTTGAATCATTGTTGCAGAGCCCCCATCATCTTCTTGGAGACCTCAAAGATCACTGCTAGAAATAGTCACAGTTCACTGCAAAAAAATTTAAATATTTTAAATATCATATATAGCAAATCTCCAAGAAGTTAAAGGACCACAATCTATTAAATACATCTGGGATACACAAACTTAGTTCCTAGCTACCTTCCAGACACAATCCTGAAATCACGTACAGGAAGCTAGATTAAGTCTATTTCTAGAATTAGACTTAATTAGAGTTAGTACTCTATAAGATCATTAATAACAAGACAGAAAATTTAAATATATAATTTTATAAATTTTGAGATAATATTTATACCTTAAGAAAAGTTTTAAAGAATCAAAATAAAGACTAAGGATTATGAGGTAAGTCCCTTAATTTTGGTTTTCTTCTTTCCCATACCAGCTGGCTTTGCTGACATGAGACTGAGATTTTGGATTTTGCATTAAAAAGCATGCTTGGGTTAGAGAAAGAGAAAGCCACACACTATCTCCAGAGCCAGCTTTAATTTTTAATTGAATTAGGACTACAAAAAAAAGATCATTTTCTTTATATATCTGTAGAGAACAGTAGAAACAAACATTTGGGAAGCTTTATGAAATTCAGTTCTGTTGGTCAATTTGCTCTCTTTATTGGGACATTTTCTCTTGATTATTTGTCCTTCTTCAGATGTCTCTTTCTTCCTGTGGTCTTTATAATCCCTAGTTGGATGCTTTTATTCTGCTGGAAATATAAAAAAAAAAACCCTGTTCCAATGCTAACTTTGGGGAGTTCCCATTTTCTGTGGGTTATATCTGATCAAATGAGAGATATTTGCTAGTTTTATAAGTTAGTTTAGATTGAATGGCCATGCTGTTTGATGAACTATCACCTCTCCTAATCAAGAGTCTCTACTTTTGAATCTAATCTTTATTAATCTTGATGGTACCCATAGCTTTTCTTCTCCTTTGGAAACAAAAGCAAAAGCAAAACCTCATCCTCAAGGTAACACATATCCTGGTTTTCATTCCTCGAGTTCTGGTTCCTTTATATCATGGCCCTCCTCCCCTCAGCAGCAGCAGAGATGACCAGAGTCAGGCTGAGGAGATAAGGTGGTGGTTTTCCCTACATTTTGAGACCGGCCTCGCCTCTTCCAACTCCTGATCTCATGTTTTTGTTTTTGTTTTTGATTTTGTTTTTCAAGACAGTGTTTCTCTGTAGCTTTGGAGCTTGTTCTGGAACTCACTGTGTAGACCAGACTGTCTTCGAACTCACCAAGATCCACCTGCCTCTGCCTTCCAAGTGCTGGGATTAAAGGCATGTGCCGCACCACCCAGCATACTGATTTCCTTCTTAAGAACATGTTTAGTAATTGTTTTTCTCATTCCCTAACCAAAAAGAAAAGAAGAAAGAAGGAAGGAAGGAGGGAAGGAAGGAAGAAAGGAGGGAGGGAGGGAAGGAAAGGAGAGGAGAGGAGAGGAGAGGAGAGGAGAGGAGAGGNAGGAAAGGAAAGGAAAGGAAAGGAAAGGAAAGGAAAGGAAAGGAAAGGAAAGGAAAGGAAAGGAAAGGAAAAAGAGAAAAGAAAAGAAAGCATGGATGGTGCTGCCACCTGGTGGCAATATTCTAAACTTACAAAACATATGGTCTCCAAAAAGCCACTAGGGATAAATCCTAGTCCCTCTGCCAGTGACCCCACAGATTACCCAAGCCACACAACTGTCCCCCACATTCAGAGAGTCTAGTTTGGTCCTATGCAGGTTCCCCCGCTGTCAGTCCCGAGTCAGTGAGCTCCCACTACTTCAGGTCAGCTGTTTCTATGGGTATTCCCATCATGGTCTTGACCCCTTTGTTTTTATTATCTCTCTTCCCTCTCTTCAACCAGACTCTGGAAGCTTGGTTCAGTGCTTAACTGTGAATCTCTACAACTGCTTCCGCCAGCTGCTGGATGTAGGTTCTATGATGACATTTAAAGTAGTCATCAAGCTGATTACAGGGGAAGGTCATTATGACTTGACCTCTCCACTGCTGCTTAGGGTCTTAGCTGGGTCATCCTTGTGGATTCCTGGGAATTTCCCTAGTGCCAGGTTTCTCGCTAAGCCCATGATGACTCCCTCCCTCTCTGTCCTTCCCCCATCTCCACCATCCCGTTCCCTTATGTTCTCCCTGCCCCCTTCTTCTCCCTTCCCCGTCCTGTTCTGCCTTCCCTTCTCTCCCTGCCCCCCATGCTCTGAACTTACAGAGGAAATTATTTCCCCTCCCAGGGGGATTCATGTATGTCTCTCTGAGGGTTCTCCTTGTTACCTAGCTTCTCTGAGGTCCTTTACTTCACGTCCAATATCCACTTATGAGTGAGTTCATACCATGTTTGTCTATCCCTACTACATGAACTGGCTTTTTGGAGCCTATTCTCTATGGAGGGATACCTTGCTCAGCCTAGATAGGTGAGGGGAGAGTCTTGGTCCTGCCTCAAAGTGGTGTGCCAGACTTTGCTAATTCCCTGTGGGAGGTCTTACTGTCTCTAAGGAGTGGACGGGGGACGGGGGAGCAGGAGAAGGAAAAAGAGAGGGAACTGGGATTGGTATGTAAAATTAAAAATAAGTTTAAAAAAAAAAAGAAAGCAGTAGTCTGAGCAAGGCACGAGGAGTAAGCCAGTAGGCAGCACCCCTCCATGGCCTCTGCATCAGTTTCTAATTCCAAGTTCCTGCCCTATTTAAGTTCCTGTCCTAACTTCCTGTGGTGACAAACAGTGATGTGTAAGTGTAAACCCTTTCCAAAAAAAAAAAAAAAAAAAAAACCAATTGATCTTGAAAGGTTGAAAATGTGACTGGAAAATTCAAGCCGTGTGACAAAAGTGTTTTCCTAGACAATTATCTTATCGCTTAAGCCCTGCTCCCTTTCCCGCCCATCTCAAAACAGCCAAGCAATTCCCCTCCCAGCTATTCAAAAGCTACTCCCATTTGACATCCATGTCTCTGTCCACTGTCAGTCTCTGAACACCCAGACTCTCTTAGTACAATTAGAAAGCTCGTGTTTCAGCATATTCACACATAAGCACTGAGTCTGTGACCCTGGCACAACATGGAATAATGTGTGCAAGGCAGAAGCTCCGCACTGTTCTCAGCTTCATCACTTAAGTACTCGTCATCAGTGGGCTGCTGACACGGCTCAGAGGATGACAGCACCGAGCCTGGTGACCTGAGTTCGGACCCTGGAATCCACAGAGTGGAGGGAGAGGACCAACTCCTTCAAGTTGTCCTTTGACCTCCACAGGAGCACTGTGGCAGGTGTCTGCACACACATGAAATAAATAAGCAAATGTAATTTATATAAAGTCACCAATAATCAGGTTTCTAATGTCACCACTGCATTTAATGGAGGTGTCCACGTAGTAGGCACACACAAGTATATATGGAATAAGTCATAAAATTTGTATTTCTTCTTCCACCTTCTCCACTCCAAATTTTTAGTCAACAGTCCTCAAGTTATAGAGCTAACTATCTAACTGGGAGAAGGCAGCAGAACTCTTAAATGTCCTGTTAAAATACACATATTTTGAACCAGCGAGGTGGTTAAATGGGTAAAAGTCTTTGTCATCTAAACTGACCATCTAAGTTTGATTCCAGGACCCAAATGATGTCAAAGAATTGACTCCCACAAGTTGTCATCTGACCTCCACATGCATGCGCACACCCTACATACAGAATAAAAAATAACAATAATAAACTAAATTTAATGTAAAAAATTAAACTATATTTTACCTGCTTTGCTCACTAAAGAGCTCTCATTATGTTGTCTGTAGTTTCTCATAGGAGGCGGGGATGGGATGAGAAGGCTGGACACATCTTCAGGGAGAAGCAGGGGAGGCAAGGACAAAGTCCTAAGCAAATCAATGACGGTGCTGCGGAAACCAGCATGGAACTTTGTGTAGGAGTCTCAGGAAAATCCAAAGAAGGATATAATTTTTTCTTGAAATAAGAAACCTAATTTAGACTCTTACTATATATGCAATATTAAACTACATTCATTCTAGAATGTTCTCATTTGAATTGGAATCTTTGTTAGTCACTTTCTTAACATACTTAGTTTCTTCTGCTCTGTCTAGATCTGGGCCAGTGCCCAGGACCTGACTACATCCAGTGTCTCCAGAACTCCGTGCTGAGCTGATGAAACAAGGGGTGTTTTCCTCCCAGGAGCAAAATTATTGGGCACCTTTAGGTGACAGAGAGAATGTGAACTCTGTACAAAAAAAAAAACTCAACCCCGCCCCCAGCAAGCATTCTTACCAAAGAGGAAACCTACAAACTTACACAAACACCCTGCATAGTCAACATTCTGTCCCTGCACAGGCTGGAGCAGTGGCAGAGCCTGCTGGGGAAAATCCCAGGCATCTTGCCAGGTAAATCAGCTAAGGTTTTCCTGGGGAGGGGCATACTGTGTATGGAAGCTTTATTTCTGCGCCTAGACAGTCGGTGAACAGAGTTCCTCCCATGTCTCCTTCATGTTTACATTAGTAGGGTTAGCTGTAGGCTTCTTCTTCACCTATTACCAGCCAGCCTTGAGCAGGGCCCCTTCAGCACCCAGCCTGAATAACGATCAATCTTGCTAATCAAATACCTTCTACAGACAAATCAGAGAGTGATAGAAACTCATGCTCTTGGAACCTAGACAGCTTCACTCCCCACTGTCTCTGCAACACATCCACACCTGCACAGAATTAGATTTGCTTTCATCTAAAGAAATAAATGGTACTGGTTTTTCACAGTTGTATCTCCCATTTTTACTTTAAACTTTGAAAATCCCCAAGTTCCAAAGGTTTTTTTGAGAGGATGGCAAAAGAACCGCATTCCCAGCCTGCGTATAAACCTGCATGCACGTTTGGAACCACAAAACAGCCCGTTCCCGACATGGCTATCCTGACCTTTTCTGCTGTGGGTGGTACTGAAGCTGGTGATATTGCTCAAAAGGTAAAAGTATTTGTCACACACACAATCCTGATGACCTGAGTTTGATCCCCACTGTTGTTCCTTTTGGAAACTACAGCTCCCAGACTCCTCCTGGATTACGGATACCTGCGCACGCGGGCGTGCACAGGTGCAGGTCATCTCTCCCAGATAACCTTGCGCTTCCCGTTAAAAAGCGAGCTTCCACGAGGTCTCGCTCTCTCTTGCCCTTTTTACCCTTGTGTATCTTGCACACCCATCCCTTATCGTGTCCCCCTCCCCCCCCATTAAAGTGCACCCACGTGGGAGCCGCGTGTCTTGTCTCCTCCTTTTGCGCTGTCTCGTCTATCCTGTGTTCGTCTACACACCCACCCGCGTTTTTAAAAGAATAATACCCACGACCCACAGTGGAAAAAGAAAATCAAGTCCTGCAAGTTGCTTCTGATCTCCACGTGTCTAGCCTTTGTCTTTGCTAACTTTGTGAAGCCTTAGCTATTTGGAGAAACTAAGTCATATAAGAAAACTGCAATATTCTATAAAAGTGCACTGTTAAACAATCAGAAAGACGAGGTTCCCAGTCTCTTTGTGGGCTGAAGTCATATTTAAAAAAAAAACTGCAATATTCTATAAAAGTACACTAATGTTTAAACATCACAAAGACAAGGTTCCTTGTCTCTCTGTGGGCTGTCTTTATGGTTTAAAGTTTGATTTTAATGATAAAGAATCTCAGTTAAACCTTCAATTCAAATTTATAAAGCTCAAACATAACAGAGATAAAATCGTAAAATCCTCATCTACTAGAAAGCTACTGATTTGTTGCAAAGTGTTAAAGGTAATTGAGACATGTAAGTTAATGGTCAGTAACCTTATAAATGATCATATTCTTTACTGTGTTCAGAACTACACTTGTGGTCATGCTAAATAGAAATACAACTCATTTGCAGGGGCAAATTTGGCCTTCTGCGTATGTAAAAGCTAAGCCTGAAGCAAGGAAAGAAAGAAAGAAAGAAAGAAAGAAAGAAAGAAAGAAAGAAAGAAAGAAAGAAAGAAAGAAAGAAAGAAAGAAAGAAAAGTAAAGTTTGCTTGAAATCAGGTAGACTTAACGGATTAACAACCCTCAATTCCCCTCCCTTGTAAATGAAAATGAGGATATGATCCCTACTGGATATGGTCGAGAACATAGGATTGAGGGAAAGGACAGCCAGAAGCATCAGGAAGAGTCCAGAATAGATCAGGCCACGGAGGAGGTGGGGAGAGCAAGAGAAGGAGAGGAAAGAGGAGAGAGGGGAAACAGACCAAGAGAGGACAAGGAGCAGAGCCAAGAGCAGAACTGAGAGCCCATAGCTAAAATGGCTGTGTCATATTAGGGAAGACAGGGGGCAGTGAAGCTCGGGGGCCGGAGAGGTTTAGGGTATGGGGTGAGGTATGCCCGCCAGGATGACTCTGTAACAGGAGTCAAAGAAGCAGCTACTTAGGGAGCCTAGAGCCTAGCATAGACCTTGATATGCTAATAGGCACCACAGACTTAGGTTAATGGAGGAGCCATATTGTCTCTGAGGGAAGGTGGCATTTGCCTAAATAGCAGACTTTCGGAAATGGAATCTCTTGAACCCTAACACCCTAATAGACAAAAATATCAGCTCTCGTAGCAGCAACGGAGGCTATCTCCAAAGAAGATGGGCAGCAAGGAACACCATCTGTGCCTTGCTTTGAATGTGGTAATGTTAATTAACCTCTAGGCAAAGAACGGCCCCCATGACTAACCCACCACCCAGCCCCCACCCAAGCACTGGATACTGTTGGGTTCACCACCCTGCTCTGACTTACCAAGGGAGGTCAGTTTTCCCAAGTCCACCCTACACAGGAAAATCTCTCAGACTTTTTGCATCTAGAGGCCAAAGGCAGATACTGCCTTGTGTGGCAGCCAAAGATGGAAGACCTCTACCCCAAACAACACTATCAAGGTCACCATAGAGGACCGCAGGGTGGCTGTCCAGGCAGCAGGTAAGCCTCTGTCATGTTGTTACAGACGTCATCTGGATTTCGCTTCCTACTCAAATTTTCCTTCTCAGATCTCACTGGTGGTGTTGTTTGCCCTGTTTTATCAGTTTAACAGCAGCCAACACCAGGTTCTCCCACAAAGGCTGCAGCGGCCAGGTCAATCCATTTTGTAAGTAAAAGCCAGGTCTTGCTTTTTCTCCACCTACTAGGTCTCCTGCTGATAAAGGCAAACCCACCGACAGGTTTACCCTGCTGGCAGGCTTCATGCTGAGAGAGGAAAACTCACAAAACAAGCTTCAATGTAAACACGAATTGAAGCTACCCTGCTGTTACTCAAATGTTTACTTTCATTTAAAAGAACTTGCTTTTCAGTGACTGCTCTCAACAATCAAGCGCTTATGTCTCATAGTAAATGATTAGATGTTTCCAGAAGGAAAAAGAAAGGAAGTTTATGCAAGTTGTAAAGGTCTAAGGAAGTGATTTAAGGTATGTGAAAAACAATGAGACTTAAATAGAACGCGAGGCATGACTTCAAAAGGTCAGAGTCTTAACATTAATCATTGGGGTTCTGGTAAGTTATTAATGTAGCCTTGATAAAAACCCTGGCTACTAAAGCTTTTTTTTTTTTTATCACAGGCACAAAATTTATAAATTTTTCTTGGTATCATCAGAATATAGTCCATTTCCCACAAAGTGTTGCCCAACAAACTCACGGCACTTAGATCTAGAGACTTCAGAATGTCACCTACAATCATTTTAAACAAACTCCCGTCTCCCACTTGATGATGGCCTGCTTTGAATAAATTCCAACTTGCTTCCCAAGGGAAACTCTTCTCAGAATCTATGTTGTAGTGAGCACTAAGGCATACCTAAGGAGAAAGTTCTAGAGACTGGCACGTTGCATTAAGACCATAGAGATGGGCAAGGGGGATGGCTCCAGTGGTAAACAGGCTTAATGTATAAGCCTGACAACCCGAGTTTGAGTGAAAAACTCACATGAAGAGCCCGCCTGTATGCATGTGGTCCATGTGTGCGCCTTCACCTAGTGCTGGAATTAGAAACAGTTTTAAGTCTGGGTTCTGAGAACAAAATCCTATTCTCTAGAAGATAGCCATTTCTCTTCATTGCTAACCCATCCTTCCAGTCCCTATAAAAAATAGTTTTAAATTAATGTTTTGTTTTTTCATCATCTTCTTGAGGAGTAAGTAAGTGAGGGTGTTTTTATAAAATAAAATAAGATTTTCCAAACAGAAAATGTCCTTGGAAATCCACTTTCTTCCTCTCCCTCGCAGCTCCCCTGGAGGATTGTGGGAAACCTTTCTAGATGAGATAGATTTTGGCTCTGGTCCCCAGTGATGTTGTGTGGATGCTCGTGTTAGAGACGGAAACTCAGCATCTACAAAGAGAAACATCTCTGTAGACCAGACTCAAAGATGTTCCCAAAACCAGCAATGGAGGGAATTCACCTTGAAAGGAAGAAGCTGACAATTGGATTGTTGACAACATTTTAAGAATCTCAGCGTGAGCTGCAGAAATCACTCCGAAGTTAAAAGTACTTGCTGCTCTTGTACAGCCCAAGAATTGGGTTTGTAGCACCCATGCCAGGCAATTTAGAACCTCCTAGAACTCTGATTCCAAGAAGTCAATGCCCTCTTCTGGCCTCCACAGGCACCTGAATGTGTGGGGCACACACGCATAAAACATAAAGAAAATTAAAATAAATGGAGGGACCACAGGAAGATTCTCATGCTTCCAGTTTATTAGACAGAAAGGAAATTGCCCTATGGTGGCTTTGATGCCAGCTTAGCCCCACAAAATGCTCATGGGTGGCAGCCTGAAGTGGCTTCTGTCATATCATTTAGAAGAAAAAGCAAGGGTTTTCCCCTAGGATTTGCCACCAAGAGAGTTCATTGATCCATAACAATGTGTCCTGAATTTTCTTTTTCTTAAGAGAGAGGAGATCTGTTTGAAGAGTTGAAGAGTTGACAAAGGAGAGTTCCCATCAGTAAGAGTGAAGCCATTTTCCAAAGAGAAAGGAGCATATCCAGGGGACAGGATGATGGAGCCGGAGGGCAGCATCCTGTCCTCCACTTCTAGTTAAGGACCAGTTCACCCATCCTGGGAGTAAGTTTCCACCTCAGTAATCAAACTCCCCCACTCTAGAGATGTATTCTGCCCATTGGGGGTAACTGACATCTCTCTAGGGGGAACAGTGACCCTTTCAAGGGCCACAGTCTTCCTAGAGGTTCTCTCCTCAATGGGAGTCATAGTCTGAAGATAGGCAAGAGTTGTAACCATCTCTGTGGAGGTCACAGACTGATTGCCCACTGTGACCGTGGTCTCTCCCCCAGGGGTCACAGACTGATTGCCCACTGTGGCCGTGGTCTCTCCCCCAGGGGTCACAGACTGATTGCCCACTGTGGCCGTGGTCTCTCCCCCAGGGGTCACAGACTGATTGCCCACTGTGACTGTGGTCTCCCCCCTAGGGGTCACAGATTGATTACCCACTGTGACCGTGGTCTCTCCCCCAGGTGTCACAGACTGATTACCCACTGTGACCGTGGTCTCTCCCCCTGGTATCTGTGTCTGGACTATCATTGTCATCTCAGTGATGGTCTCAGACAGAAGGTCCAGTGAGGTTGTAGCATTTGCCCAAGGAGCCATGGTGTTACTTCCTAGAGCTACAGTATGTGTTGCAGGAGACATTGTTCTCCCAGGGGTCACGAATCCACCATTAGGGATTGTAGTCACATTTTCATACTTTCTGGGGCCCTCAGCAGCCATAGCCTCTCCTCCTGGCGGCAGAATCTTTACAGCATCAGTGGTCAACTCCTCTGTCACAGGCAGACTCTCAGAGCCAGGTTCTGAGGTATTCACAGGCGATGTAAACCAAAATCGTGGCAAAGGAGTTGAGTTGAACTCTGGAGAAAAATTATCAGAAAAAAAATGGTAAGATTTCCACCTCTCCTTTTCCTTTCCATTATCAACTCCCAGCAACCCTAAAGCCACTCCAAAGCTGAAAAATCTGACCCAAAAATCCAGCATTGAAGAATTTCAAGATTTACTTCCCAGAGGGAAAAGATAAAAATCTCACCACACTGAAGACCTGTTCCCTTACCCTGAAGTGTTAGCATAGACCCAAACTGTGGGCCTTATGTGGATTTGTGGCATTTCTGGTGGCTAATTCATGGAAGGCTCTTAGGTCCTTTGTTTACACCCTCACTTTAACCTCTCTGGGTACCTCTAGCCAGACCCATTGTTCAAGGCCTAATTTGTCGTTAGAACACCTCAAAGAGAGGCCATCCATAGCCACATTGAAGGAGGCGTCAGATACAAAGCTGAGGCCTGGAGACCCCAGACCACAAGTGGTAAACCTTAGATTAGAACCCGTGTAAGTGCTTGGCCTGGCTGAGCTTTAGCCCTGAATCTCTAAGGGAATGCAGCTCTTACATTGGATGTCCCAACTGCCAGTGCAGCTGCTACTATCAAAAGGGGTGTGTGTGTGTGTGTGTGTGTGTGTGTGTGTGTGTGTGTGTATACACCTTTTCTAGTCCCCTTGTTCAAGAAATGAGAAGAAAAAAACAGAAATGAACGTTAACTAGGAAACAGTATGCTGTTCGACCATTAGCTCATTTAGTTTGTCAAAATGCCCTGCGTCTAGGATTATCTCACTTTCAGATGAGGCAAAGAAAGATCAAAGAGGCCAAATTTGGTTGACATTAAAGTTTGCTGTCTTCCTTCAATGTCACGTCGAAGAAGTTACACCCAGCAGAATAGACCCACCAGTGTCTGGTCTGCCACTTAGAACCCTGCCTTCCTGGTCCTCGTTACTTACCTGCCTGTACCAAGAGCTCATTCAATATATGGACAAGGGGGAAAGGGCCATTGCCACAGAAAGTGCCACTGACGTCATCCATATCCAGTGTCCACACCATGGCACCCCCAAAATGTTCCTTTTTCACGAACATTGCCTGCAAAAGTAACAATCAGTTACTAACCACGCTCCAGTCTGGGTATAGCGGGAAGAACAGAAGATGAGCAAACCTGCAGAAGGCAATGAAGGAGGACGTTTATAAAAAGAATCACCTCTATTTCTCATTAGCTATGGAATCTTTTTTATGATTTATTTATCATTATGTGCATTGGTGTGAAGGTGTCAGATCCCCCGGAACTGGATCTTCAGACAGTTGTGAGCTGCCATGTGGGTGCTGGGAATTGAACCCCGGTCCTCTGGAAGAGCAGTCAGTGCTCTTAACCGCTGAGCCATTTCTCTAGCCCTCTAGCTATGGAATCTTAAAATTTTTATATGGCTCTCTTCTTCCTTGATCACCTCATTCAAGAAAAATAATATTTCCAGTATTTCCAAGACCAAAGGAATGACTACATACTACAACATGAACGTGTTTTGAAGATACTCTATACTAAGTAAAATAATCAGACAAAATAAAAATGATGAAATCGATATGATTTCACTTACTGTTCTAAGTATTTAAAGCAGTCGAACCCACAGAGGCAGGAAGTAGACCAGTCATTGCCAGGTGCTGTGGGGGGGGGGGGAGTTAATGTTTATGGGTTCAGAGTTTGAACTGGGGGAGATGGAGGGGCTGTAAAGACGAACAGTAAGAGAGTCAAACGACATGTGAGCACATTTAGGGGGCTGGAGAGATGGCTCAGTGGTTAAGAGCACTGACTGCTCTTCCGGAGGTCCTGAGTTCAATTCCCAGCAACCACATGGTGGCTCACAGCCATCTGTAATGAGACCTGGCGTGGGCACACATGGAAGGAATGTTGTACATATAATAAATAAATAAAATTTAAAAAAAAAAAGACGACATGTGAGCACATTTAATGGCACTGACTTGTGGGTTTCAACATGGCTAAAATGCAGGGAAGGCATGACGGTTCGTGCTTGGAACCTCAGCACTCAGCAGCAGGAAAAGCAGTTCAAATCTCGTCGTGGTTACAAGTGAGTGCCTACACGTGACCCTGCCTCAACACCCCCACCATTAAACAACAGGTAAAATAGTAAGCCTTATGTTTAATGTAGGTAGGAACACTCCTTCACTTTAGCAGGCACAGAGCTAACGTTTCCTGATGTTAGCTACTGTTTCCATATCCCTAGCCTGCTACCATCGTCACCATCAAACTGAACTACGAGATCATTTTATCTTTTGAAATCTTCCACATACTTAACGTTACAGTGCTACTGAAAAGTAACCATGAAACAGATACCGTGCGCCCTTCATACAGATGGGAAGATTAGAAGGCTATCCTCCATGACTTTTAAAGTTTAGCTATAACTAAATGGCAGGGTTTGCACTCAAATTCCGGACCTGTTGTTATTTTGCTGGTGCTCTCTGGTAGAAACAAACAAACAAATACACAAAGATTCTATTCTATTTAAATATCTGTGTGACATTGCTGAGCCATTTTGCTCTTTTGTGAGATTTATTTTCCAGAAATGTAAAATACAAGAAAGGGGGTGAAGAGTGACTATTAGTCGGAAGCTCCAAGGGTTCTAGAAACAGATCCTACGTACAATCTATAAGCGTCCTTGGACCAAAGGACAAACTATTCCTAGTGAAACAAGAAGCCAGAACAGCATCTTGAATTGGCTCCCTACCCTAGTTCCCCTGCCTCTGTGCATTTGCCCCTTTAAATACTTAGCACGATAAGTGGAATCATACAGAATTTATCAGTTTTCTTTTATTTATTTATTTATTATGTATACAATATTCTGTCTGTGTATATGTCTACAAGCCAGAAGAGGGCACCAGACCTCATTACAGATGGTTGTGAGCCACCATGTGGTTGCCGGGAATTGAACTCAGGACCTTTGGAAGAGCAGGCAATGCTCTTAACCACTGAGCCATCTCTCCAGCCCATCAATTTTCTTTTGACTGATTATTCTACTTAGCATAATAGCTTCAAAAACTCATTCACATTGTAGTATATAGGTATTCTTTCAGGCCTAAAAATATTGACAATATTATTTATTTTTCTCGAATAAGGTGGCCAAGAAAGATAAGAGTCATATGAAATTTCTAAGATTCCATAGCTAGTGAGAAGTAGAGGCTAGAGTTCAATGCAGATTATAGTCATAAACGTCCTCTCTTCATTGCCTAGTGTGAGAAGCTGGAGAGATAGTTCAGCTCTTAAGACCACTTACGGCTCTTACAGAGGACCCAGGTTGGCAACCCAACACATACACAGTGGCTCATAATCATCAGTAATTCCAGTTTCAGGGAAAACAACACCCTCTCCTAACCATCAAGAGCACTAACCATGCTAGTGGTACACACACATACAAGCAGGAAAAACATTCGTATCCATAAAATAAACCAGTCTAGAAAACTTGAAGGCACTGTGACAAACTGAGGCTCTCCTGGCTGTGCATGAGGTGTGGACCACAGAGCGGTCTGGACATTGTGAAATTTGGAGCTTAGACAGAAGGGCTAAACTGCCCGGCTTCCCTCTCCACTGGCATGAACAGTCCAGTCTGTTTCTGTGCCGACACTGGGGTGGTGATGAGGGGAGTGGAGGGAGTGGTCTTTGAGCACAGGCAAGTGGCTCTGGGAGAATGTGGAAAGGGCTATCCACTTTAGCATAATTCGCCTGCTTCCTTTGCTAACTCGCCTGCCCTAGGCAGGAGCTAAAATATTTAAAGGAGTTATGTCTCAATAATGGCTCCAAGCTTCCAAACTGAAAATCATACACCAAGCCACATACTCGCAGTGAAGGATTAAACTCTCACCAGTATTTTAGACTCTTCGTAGAAATACCCTGCCTCACCCAAATTCTACTTTAAGCCTGTGAGAAGATGTCGCTCAAAATTCATCATTTCTTCCTGCCCCCTCCTCCCTCGGGAAGCCTTTCCTCATTCCTGACACCTATCAGTAACATCCATGGATGGCTGGTGTACTATAAACCCTGTCTGCACACATGTGCACACGCGCATACGCACACAGTATACAGGAGAGTCCCATCAAAGCGAATGAGAATCTGAATGCTGGAACAGGAAAGAACAAGCATCTCACCTTATAACTGAAGCTGATGGCATCATCGTAGCCAACCCACTCCTGCCCCTGGTGGGCATAGGGGACATATTGATGATCAATCCAGTGCTTTTCTGCGCTCTGGATAAAGGAACAAACCTGCCAGGAGGACACAGGTAAGATCCATTAAATGCATTGAAGAGAAGTACCAGGAGACTCAGTTGCTTCTTGTCAGGAGAAAGGATCCAGGGGAAACCTTTACCAGGGAGAGAGCAGGCAAACTGTTCACAGAGGGCTTCCTCTACATCCTGTCTATGTCCCTTCTGTTACATGGCCCTTCCTCTAGTGTCCATGGTTTACAAAACAGGAAGGAAGGAAGGAAGGAAGGAAGGAAGGAAGGAAGGAAGGAAGGAAGGAAGGAAGGAAGGAAGGAAGGAAGGAAGGAAGGAAGGAAGGAAGGAA